GGGGGGGGGGGGGGCAGCCTGTGTAGAGGTACGCCAATGAGGAGGGAGTTGAGGTTACAGATAATAAGAGAGTGATTTGTTGTTGGCATTGGTTAAAAAGGAGCATATGTTACAGAGGGGAAGGTGCCAAGATTTGGACCGTGGTTGGATGCAGGACTAGAAAGAGAGGTCAGAGTCCAGGATTACACTTGGCACTCTGCCATTAGGGGCAGTGCTGACAGTTGTGCTATTAAAGTAAAAGGAAAAAAATAAAATAATCCACATTTAAAACCCGGCCGCCTCACTGCTCTTACACAAGCTGCATATAGTTGTAAAAAATATCTGTATTCCCTTTTTTCTCCTTCTTAGTGGTCCTATGACCATGAAGCTCCATCTCCTCTTTGTAGATGTACAAACCTCAAAAATTAAGATGAATTGCAGCTTCCCTGCTGTAGCTGTTGTCAGTTGGGAACATGGAGCATTGCAGTCATATGACCGATCAGAAGAAGAGTAAAAAAAAAATATATATTTACACAGATTTATTAACTATACAGAGCTTGTGTAAGAGCAGTTGGGGGAGGCAAGGTTTTAAAGGTGGATTAATGAAACTTTTCCTTTCACTTTAATCTCACTGGAAAAGTCGGGTGGGGAGCAGGAAATATTTCTACTCCGTTTAGGAAAGATTGAATTTTAGAAAGTGGTGTCACAGCCATACAGATATGTCAGTTAGTAAATTAGTGATGCACGAGGAGGGGTGAGCTGAAAACTAGAGAGATTTGGGTGTTACCAATATAGAGAATGGTATTGGAAGACATGGGAGGCTATCAGCTGACCAAGAAAGGTGTAGATAGAGAAAAGAAGGGCTTTGAGGACCCTTATGGAAAGAGGAGAGGAGGTGACAATGTGACGAGTACTTAGATTGGTAGGAGGAGAACAAGGAAAGAGCAGAGTCTTTGAGTCCAAGGAAGTGAATTTTTATGCGTCAAAAGCACCGAAAGGTATGATTAATGAGTAGTGTCAATAGGTTTTAGCCATTAGTAAGTTTTACAAGGACAGTTTCCGTGGAGTGTTTTGGGCAAAAGCCAGGCTGTAAGGGGATCAAGAAGGTTGTGACCAGTGAGGTAGCAGCTCAAGCAGTTATTGACTAGGTGTTCTAGACGTTTGGAGGTAAACAGGAGCAAGGAGATGGCTCTTAAGTTGTTCAGAATTGTGAGGTATAGAGAGGGCTTTTTAAGTAGGAGGGAGACCAGATTTAGTGGAACATGCCAGTAAAGAAAGATATTGAAGGTGTGGGATATAGACCAAAGAATAGAGCACAAGGGTGAACAGAGTAGTTGTGGGAACAGTGTCCAGGGGGCAGGTGGGTGGGTGAGCATCAGAGAAAAGTTTAACAACCTTCTCTGTAGTAGCAGGGTCAAAAGAGGAAAGTGTTGAATGCGGTGGTAGAAATCGGGACAGTGGAGATTTGATCATGTTTTACATCCGTCTTGTTTTTTAAATGATTGGCAATGTGCTGGGCAGTTAACGAGTTAGTGGTAGGGGACAAAGTAGAGTGTTGAATCCAGAAGAGTAGAGGATGAGTGATGAAATAATTCTGGAAGTCAGCACAGAGGACGAGGGCAGATTAATACAGGGCGAAGTATTGCCGAGACTTAGTTTTACGCCAGACTCGCTCAAGCGCGCTGTCTTTTTAAAATTCTGCTGTTGTCTGTATGCCAGGCTTTTGTAGCGGTCGGTGCCTAATTCTGTGTGCAGTGATGAGCATAAGTGTGTCCTCGGAGGAGGAAAGTTAGGCTTTTTTTGTTTTTTTTGTGCAGAAGTGGCCAGGTTAGGTCAGGACGATTTTGTCAGAGAATTTGCAAAGGTTTCTACAGGTAACTGTTTCCTGGCTGGAGGCATATAGGGTTGAAGACGAGGAAAAAGTGAAACTGATGAGGTTGTGATCAGAGAGAAGGAAAGGGGTGTTGGAGGGGTTTCAGGCGTGCATACAAGGTCAAGGTTGGTTGGTTGGAGAGGAAGGTAAATACAAGGTCAATGGTGTTGCCATCAGAGTGAGTAGGAGTGTATATGTCCATTGTGTTGGGTAAAAAGATAAGGTTTAGGATGAGAAGATGTGACACAGTCCGGGTGTTGGCATTAACAGGGACATTAAAGAATGATGTGGCCATTTCAGAGGCGAGAAAGTAGAGTAGCCAGATGGAGAAGTAATCAAGTCAGTGTGACACTAGTCCAGGAGGCTGATAAATCTCTGCAATCCTCAGAGAACCTAGAGAAAAA